ATAATGATTAAATTATTAAATGTAATGGTCAAATTATTAAAACTCATGTAAAAAAACAGAAGGCATGTATTGGAGGCCTAAGGGCCTTCTCCTCTTGCTGTTCTTTCTGGTTTCATGATTGCTGGAAGAAGATATAAACCTGTGACCTCCATGAAAAAAGCCTAGAAAAGTTTTGTCAGGTCAGCTGGGGGAGATTCCAGAATCATAAAGTACAGGTAGGCCTACTCCTGGATAAAATGAAAGAGACGAAACGTATCTTTTGTCCTTTTCAATCTCTTTCAGGGCCTTGTAATGCTACTCTTGGTTTTCTTCTTCCCTGGTTTATTTTCACCCCAATCCTAGGTGGCTGGTGCTCTCATGTTGATCCCTTAATGGCTGTGCAACAAGCAGTACTACATGATTTTTCTCAGGCCTACCTTGCCCAGATGATTCCTGGGACCAAATCCTTACTTTCTTTACCATCTCAGTTGCTTGCAATATTTAAAATTAACTCCTCAACTCATTCACACCAAGCTATTAAGAGTTGGTGAGGTTTAATATGTTACAGTTTTGCTGGACATTTATATTTCCCATAAAGGACAATTACTTGATACTTTAACAAGAGGATATTCTGAGAGTGGGGGAATAGAATTTCAGGCATCAGTGGTGAATTGTGGGTAAGATATTTTCAGACAAGAAGTTTTCCTGACGTGCATATACGTAAGTGTATATTCCTCCTATCACTCCAGCAACAGATTATTCTGTCCTCTTCTTCCTTTCCTATCCTTTCTTTCTTCTTCTCTTCCTTCTCTACTTCCTCTATCCCTTTATCAGTAAAAAAAAAAAAAGGCAAGAATAAAAATTACAGCCTGAATAAAGTTAAGGGATGAAAAAGGAGAAGGAGGAGGAGGAGGAGGAAGAGGAGAAGAAGAAGAAGAAGAAGAAGAAGAAGAAGAAGAAGAAGGAAGAGGAGGAGGAGGAGGAGACAAGACAAAGAAAGAAAGGAAGAAAGAGAGAGAAAGAAAGAAAGAAAGAAAGAAAGAAAGAAAGAAAGAAAGAAAGAAAAACAAACAAAGAAAGAAAGAAGAAAGAAAGAAGACAGCAACAGTAACTGGTTTGTAACCTACAAAACATAGGAGCCTGGTAGTCTTGTTTTCAGCTTAAGGGGGTTGACTAACTAAAGCTCAATATAATCTACATGTGTCCTAAAACCATGACTACCAATGGCAAAGAGAATAATGTGAAAAAAGATGTAGAAATCTCAAGAGATTTAATGGGCTCCATTTTTCCACTGCCTAAGTCACTCTGTGGTGGGAAGAGTCATTCCTCTCTCCTAGTGTACTCCATTTCTAGTGATGAGGCTGAAACCCATCATTTCCAGTTACTTAGTACATTTAAACCATAGCGTAGCAAATGCCCTAGTGATTTTTTTTTGGGGGGGGGCAGCTTGAGCTGCTATCACTATGTAATAATGAAAGCAGGTAGGATGTGTAATTCTGACTTCCAGGCTCTGCATAAACCAACTCTTAGCCTAGGCAACTTTAAATTCAACTCAGTTTTCTCTTTTACAATCACTATGTTTCCAAAGAGATTTAAAAAAAAAACCTTTCATATTCCAGGGTTGAGAAGTAATTAAGTAAATCTGTATATGAAAATGCAAAAATATACGGGGACATGCCCTAGGTACCTATAGCTGTTTTGGCAGCTATTTTAACATTCCTGTTTCAAAATGAAGGGTCCTAACATTTAATTCCAAAATTACTGGCATCTTAATCATGTGTCTTAATTCCAATGTAATGAAAACTTCCCTATAGTACTTTGAAAATGACATTTTATGTTCTTGTATTTCTCCTCCCACACAGTACTATTTAAGTATGTATATTTGAAAGTAATTTTATTTTTTCATCTACATGACAGACATTCTTTATTTAGAAATTATTCATTTACTCATGGATTGGGAACTCATGGATTTCCACATTCAGGACAGGCTTAAAGTAGAGGAGATAGTTCACTTTATTGGATGATTTAAAGAAGCCCTTTTAGTCTAACAAAATTTCATCCCTTTCCTACCATCCTTCAGTTTGTAAGGATCTTCTGTACATTTGTGCATTTTAATTATGTTGTGTACCTGGGACGTAGAATGTAAAACTTTCTAATACTTTACCAAAGATTAATCTATCTGAATTTCCCTAATTGTCAACTCATCAAGGGCATTCCTTCTAAAAATCACAGATTAATACAGTTGGAAATAGGGATCATCAAGTCCAATTGGTACTTAAATAAGAAATCCTTCCACATCCCAGACAAGTGGTCATCCAGAGCTTAAAGATCTTAACTGACTCCCAACACAGATCATTCCATTTGTGACGGCAATAATTATTAGGAAATAGTCCATGCATCAGATCTAAATTCAATTCAGCAAGCATTTAGGGAGCAACTTAAATCTGCCTCTGTGTGACTTCCAACCCCAGTTTCTATTTCTGGCCTCTGGGTTCAATTTGAGCAAGTATAATCTTTCTTCCACATGACAACTGTTCACATATTTAAAGATAGCTATCTTGGGGCAGCTAGGTGGTGCAGTAGATAGAGCTCTGGCCTTGTCAGAGGACCTGAGTTCAAATCTGGCCTCAGACACTTGACACTTACTAGCTATGTGACTATGGGCAAGTCACTTAACCCCGATCATCTCACCAAAAAGCCAAAAAAAATTAAAAACAAAACAAAAAAAGATAGCTATCTTATCCTCCCTAAAACTTCAATTCTCTGAGCTAACTATACCCATTTCTTTAAATTAGCTTTCCTATGGCAGTGTCTCCAATTCCCTCACCATAGTGGTTGGCATTTCTCAGAACTCTAGAACCTAACAGTAACATACCTAAAATGTGATGCCCAGAATTTGATACAATATTTAAGATCTGGGCCAACCAGAGCAGGGTGCAGTAGTATTATCTGTTTTATAGTGATACTACTGTTCTCTTAATGTAGACTAAGCTTTCTGCTAGGAGTGCTGCTAGATAGTTATGGGCCTGGGATTATGTTGTGATTTTTTTTTGGCTTTGTACTTTGACTATACCTTTTTTTTTTTAAGAGGGGGTGATTGTTGTTGTTTTATGATGACATTGACTCAATTTAAGCTTGTGGCCCACTAACATATTAGATCTCCTTTATAAGAACTATTATCTAGCTATTTCCATCCTGTACTTGTTCAGTTAATGATCAAACATGAGATAGTTCTGGGATCTAGTGAAGTACTTTGATAGATGTTTTAGATCAGCGATCCCTAAGAAGAAAGAATGACAAGGATTTGTTCACGACTTCACCAATCTCATTGGCAAGACAGGTTGCAGGTATGACAGCACATGACCTTGACAAATCGCTCACTCACAATTTTCTCTCTCTCTCTTTGTCTCTCTCTTCCTTTCTCTCTCTCTCTCTCTCTCTCTCTCTCTCACACACACACACACACACACACACACAAACACAAACACACTAACTGAAGCAATCATTGTCAACAAAAAAATGAAATGTTTTAACAAATACTCAGATAATAGAGTTGCTAATGTCATAATCCCATGTCTGTACTCCCACAAAATAATTCTTTAAAACCTTCTTTTGTCAAGATAAAAAATAGTTTGCCCTATAGAATTATACAAACAATTGGTTAAACTGTCCATCTTGTTCTTTATGTCAGTTACCAGTTTGTATGTCTTAATAGACTTTTGACCATTAACTATATTTAACAAGCAGAGCATTTCTCGTAAGCTCCCAACCTCAGCAAACTTCACATGGTAACTATGTATTTTGTAACTCCATAGTCCAATATTTCATTCAAGCCAGTGACCTAGAGGTGTAAAGATTTGTATATTCTATTAGCAGTTCCAAAGTTATTGAATCTCTTGTGTTCTACATTACATTACCATCTACCATCTAAGTACTATAACATTCTCTCATTTACAAGTGGCATCCTCATGGAGTGGCGAGAGAGGGAGTGCTTCAGTAGGTGGAGTTTATCAGATTATATACTATCCTTGTGTATTCACAGCAATTTTGTATGAATCAATAAAACCCACAAAGGACAACTATTCTCCTTCTTTAGTCCATCAATATTTTAAATCTGAAATCTCAGTGGAAGGAAAACCAAAACAAGAACATAAATATACTCTAACCTAATTTCCTCAAGGTTTTGCCTAAAAAGTAGAACTTTCCTAAGCCACTTTTACAACTACAAGAAGAAAAAAAAAGGAAAAATAATACAAAATCTTTTTTATATAATTCCATAGATAATTTTCTAAATTAAATACATTTTGTAGAAAGGAGAACTGTAGCATCAGTGAATGAAATGTTTAGTCTAATCTAGATTCAGAAAAGAAAATCCCATCTCATGCTTAATTTACTAATTGCTGATGATAGGGAAAAAAACCTCATTAATTAACCAATACAAAATAATATGAAAATGCATGAAATGAAATCAGACTGCAGGGACATTAGAAGAAGCCAGATAGAATCTCATGTATAATATCCCAAGCATTTACTCCATGCTAACTACCCTTAAAACATAAGCAATAGGCAATTGTTATCAACCCATCATAGGATAAATCCAACAATATTTATTGATAGCCCAGAGTTGGAAAGGTTCTATATATAAAGAGCATGACATCAAGCTCAATCCCTATGAAGAGAGAGAGGAAAGATAGAATATGAAACTAAATGGCAGTGATCCCTTCCCCCCGCCCCAATAGTCTTACCTGAAATAAATAGTTCACATCAATTAATCTCTATCTTTTGAACTGTTTCTTGCTAATCAGAAACCTTCCTTAACTGAAGGAGTTTTATAATTATCACTGACAATTGAAAGAGCTGTCCTAGGCTTCCAATTATGGATCTGTGCATTAAAGTGAAAGAAAATCTATCCCTACTTGGTACATGTGACTCTAACTCATTTATCAGGGAAAGAAACAGAATGAAAGGAAACCAAAAAAAAAAATTAAGATTCGTGAAGGACATGAAAGATTTCAACTTACCATTTTTGGCCTTGCAAGATCTGTTGTCAAGTTGCATTAGGTACCCCTCCACGCAGCTACAAACATATGACCCGTACGTATTTATGCAGGTTTGGCTGCAAGTCCCATACACAGCACATTCATCTTGATCTAAAAGGAAAATTGGCATCATTTCTAAGCAGCCACATTCATGTGAAGTTCCTTTCTCTTTATGGTGACCATATTTTCATCAAACTTTGGAAACGTTCTTTTCAATTAAGAGGCAGAAGTTAACTCCAAAAAGACATACCAGTCATCAGTTTTACACGGCTAATTTAAAAAGATAATAGGAAAGTTAAACTTAACCTTGAATGGTTCCTGTGTAAAATATTGCTTCTATGATTGGGAAAGGGGTCCTGTTGACTATTTGGTAGTCCTCGGATATTTTTTTGCAGGTATATAGAATGCAACTACATAGTCAAAACTCCAAGGGCATCAAACAGTTATTAGAAATAAAATAACAAATCCAGCATACAAAAGGACATGATGAAAGAGATGGAAAGGACCTTTGAAATAATTTCATCCAATAACTATTACAGATGAAGAAACTAAGGTTTATAGAGGTGAAGGAACAGAGGGTGCCAAAGTTAGAATTTGAATGCAAATATTCTGATTCCAAAGCCAGTCTTCCTTCTATAATACCATTCTATTTCAAATGTAAAAGTGTTCTGAGCTCCTTTAGAGTATGGATATTGCCTTATTTTGTTTCTATCTATCATCTTCTATTCTTTCCTCTTCTGATAGTTCAAAGATCACTCACTGAACATGATAATAGTACGTATATGTATGTATATGTATGTAGGGATATGTGTACACACATATAGCACCTAGGTTGCTTCATTTACATTATTTCATTTGATCCACATGATAATTCCATTTAATTAAGTACTATTAATTATAGCTTTCCCATTTTACAAATGAGGAAACTGAGGTTTAAATTAGATAAATGACTAGCCCAAGGTTACATGACTAATAAGTGACAGAGTTAGCCCTTCACAGGATCACTGATCTAAAACTAAAAGGGTCCTTAGAGGCCATCAAATCCAACCACTTCATTTTCCAAGTGAGGAAGCAAACTAAATTTTAGATAAATGAAATGATTTGTTCAAGGTCACACAGGTTTGATTTGAATCTAGGTCCTGTAACTTAAAATCCAGCATTATTTCTATTTTTTGTTGTTGTTCTTCAGTCATTTCAGTCATGTCCTACTTTTTATGACCCCATTTGGGTTTTTCTTGGGAAAGATACTGAAGTGGTTTGCCATTTCTTTCTCCAGTTCATTTTTACAGATAAGAAAATTGAGACAAACAGTTAAATGACTTCACCAGGTTCACATAGCTGATATGTTTCTGGGTCCAGATTTGAACTCAGGAAGATGAGTCTTGCTCACCCCAGATCCGGCTGGACTATTATGCTTGCTAGTGCAAGCATACTTAATACTTAATAAATACTATTACTTAATAAATAACTGTTGACTAACTAGGTATACAGACAGAACCATCTCCACCTTTAGAATGTATTCTCAAGCATTTATTTATTTGTAGTCTTGTGCTAGATAACTACATAAAGAGAATAAAATACTGAGTACACACTCTCTAGGATAAGGGTTCCCAACCTATATGTACTCCTAGGAGGTAAGAGAACCTTGTCTCAGAGTATGGGTAACATCTATTAAATAATTATATTAAGGATAAGGATAAGGACTTAAAATGCATTTTAATTGGCAATAGGCAGTTATGGGGTAAGGAAACTTCATCATTTCAGATCAGGACCTTCTCTGTAACCTAAAGTCATTGAAATTGGCTAGAGTACTTATTTAAGATTACATAGCTAGAAAGTGTCTGAAATAGGAATTGAACCCAGAATTTCTTGGCTTCAAAGATGGCTCTCTAGCACTATGCCATGATGACTCTCAAATAGCCATATTATCCTATGTAAATGAACTAATCTTTTTTTTTAATATTTCTTATGTGTAAATGCTTAGCAAATGCTAGAATTTATTTCCTTTCATGTTGAATAGAAGGGACAAGAAAATTTATTGAAAATCAAGGAATTCAGGAACCAAAATGGAGAGCCCCTGCTCTAGGAGTCCATAACTGATGATAAACAATACAATACATAAAGGACAAAAAAACAAAGTGAATTTGGACAGCAAAACATTTACATTACGCTCAGGCCATAATGCGGTATATTGGTAATGATGATTAGCGTATGAAAAATGGCATAAAATATATCATCCAGGACATAGGACTGTAAAAGGAGAGTGAGATACAGCAAATGAAGAGTCCCAGTGTTGTACTGGTACCCAGAAACTATCAAAAGCATAAGGAGAAAGCTTCTAGCACTGGTGTATTGAATGAATTCTCTAGGGGATATATAGAAAGACATGGACAAGATTTTTAGAGTTTGAGAAGGTGTAGCTGGGCTGCAATAATTATTACTAGAATTTCACATCAGTAGTAAGCACTTAACAAAAAACTATAAATTGATTCATCAATGCCACTGTGGTTCCATTGAGATATTTGAGGGATATTAATCAAAGAGGAGTAATCGTTTTTTGGGGGAGAGAAGAAACATAAGTGAATAATGAAGGTGGGATTGTGGGGACTGGAGAGGGAAACATAATTGAAAAGAGGAGCTAATCTTGCATACTTCTAGCTCCCTCCATGGTAGCAGGGATTGAGCTCTCTTTCAGAGATACTGTAGCCTCCATTTAATTGGTTCCTTCTTCAACTCTTCTGAAGTTGTTCTGCCATCTGATATAACAACAATTAATTATATCTTTTCTTATGTTCTTTAAGCCACAACACATTGTCACTTTAACAGGTTGCCTCTTAATCATCTTCCAAACTGCATGCATCCATGTACTTTAAAATACTGCTATTTCTTTTCTGGGACCACAGGGGAGTGAGTGAGCAGGTGACGTGACTCAAGGATCCAGATGATTTTCCAGCCTCCCTGCTGGGAATTATTAAGAAATGTAGATTGCTTCCATTGTCTACACTCAGTTGTCTTCATAATTGTACATTAAGGTTGACACTGAGGCCTGAGTTGAGGCTTTGTCTATCTCTAAAGATTAAGTCTAAGTAATCAAAACAATTAGTTGTGCATGCAGATATCATACAAAAATTGGACTACTTAATTGATCTAAAAGCAGTTATTAAACCCATATTATATGTGAGGGATTGTGCTAAACACTGGGGATACAAAGACAAAAGTGAAATAGTCCATTCAAGCAGCTTACAATCTGCTAGGGGAAGCACCAAATTACCAATGATCTCTCTATTGCCAAATTCTACCTTAGTCATTAAACTCCTTGAAAAGGCCATCAACATTAGGTGCCTCCACATTTTTTCCCATCAGTCTCTTCATAACTCATTACAATTGGCCTTCCATTGCATGGAAACTTCTCACCAAAGTTATTAACTCTTAATTGATAAATCCAATGGCCTTTTCTTAATCATTCTCCTTGACCTCTCTGTAGCCTTTGACACTGTCAATCATCCTCTTCTTGATACTATCTTCTCTCTAAGTTTTCATGAGATCACTCTCTCCTGGTTCTTCTCCTTTCTATCTGACTACTCCTTCTCTGTCTCCTTTGTTGTATCTTCATCCAGTTCATACCCACTAACTTTGGGAATCCCACAAGACTCTGTCTTGGGCCATCTTCTTTTCTCTATCTATACCCTTGTTGATCTCGTCAGCTCCCATGGATTCAATGATCATCACTAAGAAGATGATCCTCAAACTTACCTTATTTACCTTTAACTTCTCTGCTGACCTCCAATCTTGCATCTGTAACTCTTATCAGACATCTTGAACTGGATGTCACTGGATGTCCTCCCCACCACCATCTTCCAAGTCCCCCAAGCTTATATTTCTTGGATCAAATATAAGATCCTATTTGGCCTTCAAAACCCTTCATAACCTAGTATCCCACTAACTTGATATTCCTAATCCTCATACCTTACCTTGCCTCCTCCCCTACACCGGGTCTTTGATCTAGTGACACAGGCTTCCTTGTTGTTCCTCAAAGTAGACACTCAATCTCCAACTCTGGACACTTTTGTTGACTGTCCCTCATTCATGGAATGCTCTCCCTCCTCATCTCCACCTTCTGGTTTACCTGGCTTGCATCAGTTCCCAGATAATATCCCATCCTCTATAGGAAAGCTTTCCAAATTACTCTTAATTCTAGGGCCTTCCTTCTATTATTATTTGAAATTTATACTGTATGTAGTTTATACATAGTTGTTTGCATTTTGTCTTTCCTATCAGAATGAGCACTCTTTAGGTCAGGGATGGTTATTTGTTTCATTTGCTTCCCTAGCATTAACACATAGTAGATAATTAATATATATTGACTGATTTATATAAGCATCTCAATACATGTAGTGTGTGTGTGTGTGTGTGTGTATGTGTGCATGTGTGTGTGTGTGTGTGTTCACAAAGTAGTTGGAGAGGTGAACAAGGAAGGCTTCATGAAGAAGATAGTTCTTAACCTTAATCTTGAAAATGAGGGTGGGGAAGGAATCAAGAAATATCCATATAGGAAGTGGTATATGAGTTATGCTATTATTGATCTGAGTCTCAGAATACTAAGCTCAAAATCCTACCTCAGATACCTACTAGTTATGTGATATTTACCTCAGAGACTCAATTTCCACTTTTACTGTCTATGTTGTAGGGTTGCTATTAGATAAATAATTGTCATACTACATAAATATGAGTTCATATTATTTAGCAGACATTTTTGTTCTGCTACAGGTTAGACTGGATGATATCTGAGGTTCCTTCAACTCTGAGATTTTGTGACAATATTCGCTGAGCAAGGACTTTCAGCATTCTAGTAGTCTATAAACATACTACATTTGAATGATAATGGTGTGGCAGAAAAAAAAGTTAATGAGATTTTAACTACATTTATAGACATCTTTAGTCTAGATATAAAGATTTGATATTTCCACTGTAGTCTGCCCTGGTCAGACCAACTTTTTAGGAAGGACATTAATGATCAATATCATTCCAGAGGAAAGTAGTAAGAATTGTCAAAACATTAGAAACTATGCCATTCAAGAATGGAATGGAACTGGAGATACATAGATTGTGAA